AGGGGGGAGGCACAGCGGGGGTAGGGGAGGTGAAGGGGGGGGGGAGTTGTGCTCCTCATCCCTCTCTCCTCCAACTGAGCCTCCTTCCTCAAGGTCAATCACACACACACACACACACACACACACACACACACACACACACACACACACACACACACACACACACACACACACTCATTTTGTTGAGCTCAAGTAGAAAAGACGCCTTCTGCCTGCTTTTCTCTCTCTAACTCTGTACCAACCAGCCAAGTCTCAGTCAACCATCTGGAGATAAAAAACACCATTCTTCCCACACACACACACACACACACACACACACACACACACACACACACACACACACACACACACACACACACACACACACACACACACCAACTTGCAAACACACTGTGTGTTTATGATAATAGACCAAATGCTTCTATTGATTTGTTCTCTTTTGGTGTCTGCGTGTGCATGTAAAATTAGTTTTATTTCATGGAGAGCCCACTTCTCTTTAACATGTTCTCCCACAAGAGAATCATGAGTTCTCCATCTGTCATTCACTGTATATGATGAAGCATAAGAAATATACATGTCATGTTTGTTTTTTTACTCTGTCTTTAATTATGACCACCTAAAAAGGATGAGTACACATCAACAAGATATTGGCATATGGTTTGAATAATGTTATATGGGGAGCCTCTGTTTTTATGTTTGCCATCTTTCAGTTATTTAGGGTTTTTCATTTATTTACCATTGCGTTCCATATCATTTTGATATAGCCTACGTTTCTTCAGCGCTTTTTCAGATCAAAAAATATGACAAAAACGGCACGTGTTAAACATGTTGCACTTGTTAAAACGTTTACTAATGGATGTCACTGCTGCAAAATCAGAAGAGCTATATCAGCCTTTTTGAAAACCTCTAATGGAGCACGCTTCCTCCCCCTTCTTGTAAAATATTCCTCCTCTTGACTTTGGGTCAAAATTGTCACCCCCCTTCAGCCCCTCCACACTCCTCCCCTCCTGATTTTTTATAACTGGCTGCAAATTCACTGCTGTTCATTACCCAGGCAGGGTCAATTCCCCAAACAATGTGTTTGGTGTCACAATAAAAAGGGTGTTTTTTACGGCTTGTCGCAGTAAAATGCTATTAAACAGATAAAACACCGGCAACGAGCATCAGGAGGATTATAAAAGGAATTGCCTTGATAAACTCCACATATCTGCGTGATGACACACCAGCAGCTCTTCACTCTGTCGTTGGGGAGGGGGAGGAGGAGGAGGAGGAGGAGGAGGAGAAGGAGGAGGAGGAGGGGAGGCAGACTGAGAAGCACATGGTGGGAGAGTTTTTTCAGCTCTACAGCGCCACCATCTGGGGAGATAAACCCAATGGCTGCCTCTCTGTCCTGTATCCTGATAGATTTCATGTGATGCTTTGCAATCTGAGGCTTGAAAGAAAAATAAGACTGTTGTTATTATTTAAATTATTAACTTTATGTTTCTTAATTATTTTAGGCTAAATATGGTATTGATTAATTTCTTCTAACGGCAAGCGTGTAGAAAAAAATCAATATCAGTCAGTTGGTAATTTTGTTGGTGTCTTTTTCTCGTGTGTGGTTAAAACCGAGTAAGGTTTAATAAATATGGTGATCACAATGATAAACGAGGATTACAAAGCAACAAAAAAATTGTAAGTGAAGTACTTCATATCTAGCTTGCATTTCAGCTGCAGTGATCATTAAAATGGTCTCATGCTTCCCTCTGGTGGTTGTCGTAAGAATGTCTACAACTTTCACTAATAACCAATAGCCATGTCCATTTCCTGCTGTGGGGCAAATGACGGATATCTTATTCTACTCGTGTTTCAAATAATTACAGCCTCCAGTAAAAGTGCAATATTTCCCTCCCAAAATGTGGTGGACAAGTACTAATACCAGATTGTAAAAAATATGTTAAAGGTAAAAGTCCTATATTGAAATTACTACTTAAGTAAACGTATATAAGAGCAATCAGGAAAATAAACATATAAAGTAAATAAATACGTTAAAAGTGAAAGTAGACTTAGAATATATGTTAACTCTTCAATCCAAATTATTGCAATGATTAACATTAAAACGTTGTTTGTTTTGCAGGATAAATTAAATCAAACAATTCAGGATTAATTATAAAAACGCATTATAAGGTCATAGGTCTTTGTGATAACTATTTTCATATTCAACTACAATACAAATGGGGAACAGTTTTCTTGATAAATTGAACCGAACAACCCTTAAATTCTAATAATAGGCTTCACTTCCTAATAGCATCTTGTTTATCCACCAGATTATCGTTGTTCTTGTTACATCATTATTAAAGTGCTTTTTGTAAAACCTTTGCCAAACTCTTAACAAGGCGGGAAGGTTTCGTTAGAATCCGCCAGTCGTCGGTATTTTCCGGCCTTTTCCGTTCCCACATCGGACACTTCCGGTTAGTGTCGCCATCTGCTTTCTCGTCCTTCTCTTCTCCAATCTCCGTGTTGTTGTTCCCGGTGACGCGGAGGTGTAGCCTGACGCGGGCTCTTACGTGTCGGCCAGAATAAAAGTGGAGCTCCGGAGGCCCGGGAGTGACGAAGGGAGTCTGTATCGGTAAGGACGGAGCGGTGTCCGGGGCTCAGAGACACGGGACTCAGCCCTAGAAAGTGTCGGTGTTGTCGGGTTCGGCCCGAAGGAAACAAAGAGATCATGGCGCCGCGGTGTGTTTGTAGGGAGGGAGGGGAGGCTGCGGCTGTTGAGGAGAAACAGAGCAAATGTGCCGCTTTGATAGTGAACCCGGAGTGACAGTGTGCGTTTGTGTTTGTGTGTGCGTGCGTGTGTGTGTGTGTGTTAAGTCATTTGACATGATAGGGACTTTAGCGTTGTTCTTACCTACATGCAACTGCCAGACTGTGCAGTTACATGATACAGCCATTATGCGCACAGATTTGCGCTGCTTTCATTGGAAACGGCGCATTGAACCCATCATGTCCATTAATGTAGGCTACTTGCTCGAATCAAATTGATGTTTATAATCTCAAATATTTTATTTCTGATTATACACATTCTGATAATCATCTTACTAGTGGCCATTATTATGTATTCATATTAATCGGCCATACATGTAAGCCGATGCGTTTGGTTGCAAATGAAAAACATGACCTCAGGCCTGGAGAGTAAACTCCCATCTGGTAATTTAAGTTGTAACAGTGTCTTATCTCCGGGGACATGGCCGCTGTGTGGAAGGGGCGTCGCCCGGCCATGTGGCTCTGCTGTCACACAAGTGATTTTTGAAAAGCAGAGGGAGAAATGTGTAAAGCCAATCATGCAGCGGAGAGGAGCTACGCACAGTGTGAGATCACAACATCCCAGATCAACACACACTTTACCGCCTCAAGTCAGTTCACTGAGGCTCAGAAACTGCTTATTCAAATGAAATATATGCAGGTTAATGTGTTAAAATCCATAACTTATTATCAGTGGTCGAAAGTTACCAAATACATTTATATGTGGTACTTGAGTAGTTTCATTTCTTTCTTCTTCACACAAGGAAACGAGCTTCAGGGTTGTACTATTTAAATCTAAGTTTTAGCCCATTGATACAACACACAACATAAATAAACATTTAAATCACAATTGATGGCTATCAACCATAAAGTATTTCAAATAAGCAATTAATGCATCAACAATTATTATCCAATACTATCTTGTGTATGATCCTGAAATGGGCTTTTCTGCATAATGATTACTTTGACTTTTAGTACTTTTTAAATTTATTTTGATCCCAATACTTTGAACACATGACTTGTGTCATTTTTGTAAAAGAGTATTTCTCTAGTATTCCTACTTGTACATACAGTATACGACTACCACTGGTCATCATTATTACAGTTAATTTTATAATGATCTAAAAACATATATATCGTAACAGTACAGTCACTCCAGGGTGTTTGATATGTGCAATGAAAATGTCAATGATAACAGCTGGCCATTAAAATGATCATTAAAACATTTACTTTACAGGGGGAAGGAGATTATAGGTGTAGTGATGGACTCAGATCTGAATTGTAACTGTCACATTACAACAATTATTAAGTCTGCATACTATCACCTTAAGAACATATCTAGGATTAAAAGACTCATGTCAAAGCAGGATTTGGAAAAACTTGTCCATGCTTTTATTTTCAGCAGACTCGACTACTGTAATGGTGTCTTCACAGGTCTCACAAAAAATAGATTAGAAAGCTGCAGCTAATTCAGAACGCCGCTGCTCGAGCCCTCACACACCCTAAAAGAGTGGATCACATCAGTCCCATTCTGAAGTCTTTACACTGGCTTCCTGTCTGTCAAATAATTGATTATAAAGTTTTGCTGCTGGTTTTTAAAGCACTCAATGGTTTAGGACCAAATTATTTTAACGATCTCCTGCATAACTATGAACCATCCAGGAGTCTCAGGTCTTCTGGGACAGGTCTGCTCTCTGTTCCAAGAGTAAGAACTAAACATGGAGAAGCAGCGTTTAGATATTATGCCCCGACTATCTGGAACAAACTACCAGAATCCTGCAGGTCCGCAACTCTTACTACTTTCAAATCCAGACTGAAAACTATATCTTTTGCCGCTGCTTTGATTGAGCTTTTCA